CTCAATCTAACTAGAAAATTTCACCTTTCACAAAGCGGTTTCTACCAATCTATTGTTTCTCATATCTCCATTTGTTTCTTGTCTTTTCTAACCTTAAATGCCTCTCTCTTTCTGGTCTGTCCTTCCTTCATCAATTTCAGCTTCAAAGCATGTTTTTTCTAACTAAGTTGACAAAAGCAATCCATTTATGTATCTAGGTCTCTTTGATTTTAGGTTTTTTGTCAGTGAGTACATGTTTTATCTAGGTTTTATTATTATTATTGATAAATTTTGGACATTTTGGCAAGTGGATTTTGATTTTGGAGGTCCCAATTGTTCCTTGTTTAAAAAAATTGATTGATTTTTGAGAAGAGGAGCTGATTTAAACTTGTGGATATGGATAACTTCAGTTTTTAAGTGGATTTTGGTTAAAGTTTGTTAGAGATAGCGACGAATGTGCTTAATAGCCAACTAATGATCTTTGGGAAAAAAAAAAAAAAAAGCATAAACTGACAAACTTTTCTAGTCATAAAGCTAATACCCTAAGTGTCAAATGTTATAAAACACTGACAATATAACGATACTTAGCATAAGTTCGGAGATAAAAACAAAAGAATGCAGTGCTTCGATTGCATACAAAAATATTCGATTTTGACAATTCACCTATGAGATTTCACTTTACATTAAAAACAAAATTACAGACTACATTTCTTAAATTTCTTAAAGAGAATTTCTTCTGCAGTTATAGAATTTTATAAAGAAAAGAAGAGGATTGTGGAAAAAAAAATTAATTATTTTCTGAGTAGTAATCCTCTATTTATAGATTATTTGAAACATTTCATAACCAATATAATTATTGAAAAACTAGTTTGATTCAGAGCTTAATTGTTACTTTTTAACGGTTATAATTCAACAATCATCTTGTATTTGAAATTAATTAATTATCATAGAAAAACATAATTAATTAATTAATTATAAATTTAATTTAATCAAAAAAATAAATCTAAAAATTAATTAAATTAATTAATCACATGTCATGCACATGAAAAGTGCAAAGTGCCAGTCTTTTAATATATATATAATTTCATCTACTAGCTTCCCTCCAAAACTTTCAATTTGAGTTCCCTCTAAATCCTACTATTTTGAAATCAATGCAAGAGGTCTATTGATAATTTTTTTTTTCTTTTCAATAGATGATAAACATTCTATTTGAAAATACTTTATTCACCATGCTTAACTTATTGTCTATTTAAACCATGTTTTCCAACATCATCTTTAGTTTTTGTCTAAATTTTTAAGCATGTGAACATTAGCCATTTATTTAAAAACATACTACGAATTTTTACTTAACTATTTTGAACAAATATTTAATGCTTAAGTTTGTTTTTAAAGACTTTTCATGTAATTGTAATTTAATAATTACATTATTAAACGAGTAATTTTATTTATTTTTTTTAATTTATTTGTTTTTGACATTAAAAAAAAAAAGTAAGTAAATTATTAAATTTGAAGGTTAAATAAAATTAAAACACAAGAGTCGGTTACACAATCATTTCTATAAATTCTAAAATTAGAGGAGGTTTTACCCGCCCTATATGATTTCTCGCTAAAATATAAAAAATTATGGAACTTAAAGGTAACCAACGGTTGCAAATATTTCATGCCAAAAAATAAAGCATAACATAATTGACATTATAAGAGCAGTCTTAATTGCCTCTAAAAAAACCCCCCATCGATTGTTAAAACCATTGCTATAGCCTAGCTAGAGACTGCAGTACTACACATGGTTTTAAGACGGTTTATTTAATTGCCGCTAGACTTTGTAGAGGTTGGTATAACTACCTCCATTGCCATATTTTGGTTTAGTGACATTTTGTTTATGGTTCTAGAGCTATCATGCCTAACAAGCAATAAAATAAAATAAAAAATCGTTTTACGGAGGTGTACTTGAATTTCACGAATCTCTTCATTTATGTAAACACATGAAACCATTTGTCATCTTTCTAGTTTTAAGAGTCACATGACATCAAATTCAAAATCTAATTTATCCATTCGTTTATTCAATACAAGTTATTAAATCATTACTAATATTAAACATATATAATTGTTTTATAGAATTTACTTATGAAAAAAAAATATAAATTATTAAATAGATGTTTCATGTATTAAATAAAAGAATTTTATTAATAACTCTCGTAAATCTATAGTTAATATTTTTCGATAAATGGATTCTGTAAGACAATTATTTATGACTAGCATTACTCTTAAAGCACATATTTCATTTATCTCAACTTCTTTCTATAGATTACTACAGCATGCACCCTACCATAGAAACAAATTTATTATAGAATTAAGAAGCCATACGTACAATTTGCATAAAAGTATTGCACAAACCCAATTTATAATTAGAACAGTCTTGTTGGTAGGTGGAGTAGATTCAAGATGAGCTTACCTAATTGAGATATTATTATGGCAACAACCAACTGATATGTCATTCCGGATAAGCCTCGATAATAGATTCACAGCTGGAATCTTGATGATTTTATAGCTAGCGAGGGAAGCCTCCTTCCTCTGATAATTTCTTCCATTTTTCTACTTGTAATATCTGAGAAAGTATTTGCTAGGTGCCAAATTGGTAATTAAGATATTTTAAAAGGATAATTAATAGACAGGCTGGGCTTGATATCTATTTTGTGCTTGATCTACCGCCATCCCTAACCAGCAACATACACCAATTGCCTAATATTATTGAAACCAATTCTATATTGGGATAGAAATGCCCTCTTAAAGATCTTTGTCGTACATGCCATGGTCTCATTGAAAATCCTATTGAATTCACGATTTTGAGAGGCAAAGTCCCATATTTCACAGCCATGAGCCTTGGAGAAAGTGGTTCCACTTTCTTTGATACATTAGCTCAAACAATGCCATGGAGTCACCATATTTCACAGTCATAAGAAGGAATGCTGGAAGCTGTCGGAATATAAGGAATGCTGAAATCTGGCGGAATCAGCACCCGTCCAATGCCTGGAACGAGAAAACTGCCGTCAGATTGCAGGAAATCAGGCTGCGTCACATCCACATTCTTGGAGTTCTTTGGGATTTGGCACCCTGCGAGTACTTCCCCAGATATTGCAAGCAGGAAAACGAGAGAGAAAAGAGACAACAGTGTTTTGGAGTCACCATGGCATTGCTTGAGCCAATGTATCAAAGAAGGTGGAACCGCTTTCTCCAAGGCTCATGGCTGCGAACAGTGGGATTCTTCCTCTCACAATCCTGAATTCAATAGGATTTTCAACGAGGCCATGGCATGTACAACAAAGAATATCGTTATGAGGGCATTTCTATCACAATAGATGGTTTCTTTTGCATGATTACAAAAGAAGTGAGGCTTAGCTCAGAGATTTTTTGTTCAGCCCAAAGATCGTTTCTCCTCCATCCGATTGAGGATGCGCAGTGAAAATTTACTTGTCGGCTAGAAATCCCATGATACGAGAAAGACAAGCAGTGTCTACACTAGGTGAGTTAATCCCTGAATTAATGAAGGGAAAAAAAAATCAATATATTGCAACATATATTCAGCAATTTGTTTATAAAATATAAATCTGAGTTGAATTTTATAAAGATTTTACAAACGTTAAATTCACAAAAACACGAGACAATCTAAATCCAGAAATTAAAAATATTATAACTATAGAAATGAAAGTGGAAACATATTTGCTGAATCTATATATACAAAGATTAAAAAGTTGAAACCTGAATCTATCTGGGACAGTGAGATAGGAGCACCATGAGAGTTTATTATATCTGCCACTCTTTGCTCTACACCACGCTTTAGAAGCCTCTTCTGAGTTCTGATCCCATTCTCAGTTTCTTTTCCAGTTTTCCTAAAGTTCACTCTTCTAAATTTTGAGAGGCGATGAGATGGATAAAAAACGTGTGGACCAGACAGGTAAAGGGTTAATAGCATAAATCATCCCTCAATTATTCTGATTTTCTCAATGCCGTATCTGTAGTTTGTTTTTTTTCTTATTCATGACATTTTTTTCACTCTTGAAATTCTATTAGTCTGATTTTTTTTCGACGAGGTTTTTGTATTTTTTTTTCTTATTCATCACTTCGTTTTACTCTTGTAATTTTTTTAATGTGACTTTTCTATTGTTTTTTAAACCAATTTTTTTATAATAAAGATATTTTTAAATCTTATTTATTATAATAGGATAATTTTAAATTTATTTATCAAAATAAGATAATTTTTTTTATAATGTGACTTTTCTATTGTTTTTTAAACCAATATTTTTGATTAATATTGACCATTGACATAAAATTGACACGTGCGTTAGACAAATACACCTCCAAAAAAAAAAACCCAATCCAATTTCACCATCTCTTGCCATAGAATGCTTTGCTTTAACAAAATTAGCGTAATTTCATCAGAGACCAGAAAATAAAACAGAGTTATGTATTTATGATATGGTTTCAAGTCACAATTGATAATTATCATATAATTTCGTTCCAATATACAATTTTGCCATCTAATTCTATAAATGAACACAGAAAAAATGCAATGAATTGCCACAGTGATCACTTACAGAGAAGGACTCCATAAAAGTGCGGTCATTCCAGTCTTGAAGAGCCATTTTTATCAGATGTCTTCAAAGAGTCTTCAAGAATTCTATCTCGTCTCTTTCTAAAGAGTTTCACTGGTGATATTCTTTAATCTGCTTCAACCTTCAGTTTTCACATCATGCAACTTGTTTTAACATTTTCTTCCACATGGTTATTATGCAGCAAGGAGCAAAGCTGCACCTGTTGATGGAAGTGAGCTGCCACACAACTTGCCACTTTTAAGGCAATTTCCCTAAGACAGAAGATGAGGAGTTCAACTTCATGCCTTATCCATATGCAGCAATGAGTAAAGCCTCAGCTCTTCCGTGATCCTTTTTCCTTTCTAGAGAGGAACTCAAAGATGGAAATAATGTCGACGCGATTCTTCGGCTATCATCCTTAGTACACTTGCCTTAAGCGAGTTCAAATTCATTCTTCCATGTCATAGATGGTACTGGAACTACAGAGAACCCTGAGGCAACTAACACCCAAATCCCATAACCAAATCCTCCACTCCACCATCCCTGCTTTCCATCTGGTGGGAATGGGGTTGATTGTTCTATGTATGCAGTAGTGCCAATTGGAGAATGGAAACTACGAATTAATTGAACAATAGACTTAACATCTAATCGCTTCCGGGTTGCTTTTCCAACCATTACTTTCAAGTGAGGAGAATCAAACACCTGAGCAGAGCAACCAGACTCGTCAATTTACAGAAGTGCCAAAGCACCAGAAAGATCAGAGTCAATACCGACAACCCAATTGGAACCCACATTATTCCAGGTCAAATCGTCTCCGCCCAAATTTGCAGTCTCAGTTTCATCAGGTAAAGGAAAGTTGAGAGAGTTTAACGAGTTTTGTTTAAGTTGAGCAGCATCAGCTATTTTTGCCCCAACCTTTACCCTACTTTTTGAAAGTTTGGTCTTTTTTAAAGGAAGTGGGGTTAGAGAGTTTTTAGTGCAGAAGGGTTTTAGGGTGGATAGAAAGAGGTTTAAGAGTTTGGGTTTGATGATGAGTCTTGAAAAGAGTGACTTCATGGATTTGAATTTTGGAGATTGGTGGGTTAGTGGTCTGATTTGGAGGGTTTCCATGCAATTGAGTGGTTTGTTCAAATTCTGCTTATAAATCACTATGGCAATTGTTGAAACTCAAGGAGATCTGACTCAGTGCAATTTTATCTTATATTTCCTGGTTTGTGCTTCGTTTTCTCTGCTGTATAAAAAAGAAGACGACCACTGGATCAGTTGATATGCTTGCGCACATTTTGATTTGTGGCAGTTTACGTTTTTAATTAATAAAATACCTAAAACAATAAAGATGAAGCTGTAATATAATGAAATTATTTTTTAACAATTAAGAAAAAATGATTTGGATGAAAAAAATTATTATGTGGTAAAAAAATATTCCGATATAATTTCATTTATTATTTTATTGACCAAATTAGAAAAGATGGTTACGGTTATGATTTTCTACTTTCTCCAAATTTAATACTTGTGAATAAATTCTATCTATCTTTCTTTCTTTTCTTTCTTTCTTTTTTTTTTCTTTTTTCTGAACTAAGATAGCATTGAATGAGTAGTAACTCAAACTCACGTCTACATCTTGATAAATGAATCCGAGGAATCCCTATCCCAATCTTCAGCAGCTCGATCCTACTCCACCTTCATGCTATTGGTGATGGCAAGAAGTAAGTTTCAGTTTCAATGCAGAAAAAATATACTAAATGTAGATCCATTGGAAGGAAGGAAGGAAAAGGAGAAAGACAAATAAAAACTGGGAAAGAGAAGCAAGTAACCCATGCCTGTTGTTCGGTAGGCACAACCTGTGTTGTGACATGTCCTTGGTTTTTTCTTAATATTTTTCGGTTGTCATCATGATAAGACGATACCAACTAACCCCATACTCTATTTTTAAAATATTCTTTTCAAAATAAAGAGGACAAAAAAGACAGAGAGAACATCTATATCTTGTTAAAAATTAAGCAATTTCAAGAGTGTTGTTTGCTTTTTAGCCATCAGATTATGAGAATTGAAAAAGTGATTTTATATATATATATATATATAATTCACCTGATTTTAATATGGATATTCTGATATTGATTAAATTAAAAAGATAAATTTAATTTTGATACATGAAACTGGTTTTATTTTTCATTCTTAGGGTTTTCTAAATTTTCTATTAAAAAAAAAAAATTGTACTATCTTTTTGAAGAGATGTTGAATTAATAAAACTTGAGAGTTTTGAGAGTTTCCTTGTAGTTATGATTGTATTTTTTGTTTTGTGGGTTTTTGAGAATTAATAAACTTGTTATCCTGCTATTAGCCGTAAATATTAGCACCAAATCATCATAAAAGATTTTCCCACTTCAGCTAGCTTTCATATGTCCTGTTTATACAAATTAGAGAAGTGGAAGAAAATTTACAACAATTCCACGGGAAACTTATCCTTCAGGATAGAATTTTGAAACATTGAACGGAAGTAGTTAACAAAAACATGCAAATTAGATGAAATTTTTTAACCACTAATAATGGATTTTATTAGTGGATGAAAATATGATACTGTCTGATATATATTTGATTATATTTCGAATAAAATTGATGAAGTCGAAAGGTTTCGGACTGAATTGATAATGAAAAAAATATGTCAGGGGTTAAATTAAGGTTTCCGTGTGTGTGTGTATATATATATATATATATATATATATAGCAACTACAGAACTTAAATTTATCTCGATCAATTTCCTCACCTCGCTACCTTCTAGCAGAGAAAGCTTAGCCAAAAAGCAGACAGTGCCAGAATGGCATCAACAGAAGAAGACACTTCGTTAGCAGGCCAAGCAAAGGTATGGCAAATCATGTTTGGTTGTACAGATTCTATGGCAATCAAGTGTGCCGTAGAGTTTGGCATAGCAGACATAATAAGCTCTCATGGTCGCCCAATCACTTTGTCCCAAATAGCTTCCGGTTCTATTTCTTTTCCTCTTTTTTTACCACGGTATTGTAATCTATTTAGCTTGCTTCATTGTTTTCGTTTTTCTTGTCTTTTATTTTGTTTTTGTTTTTGTTGGTTCAGGAATTGATTCACCAAATGTTGACACTGGCTACCTTGCACGTATCATGAGATTTCTAGTGCGCAAAGAAATGTTTTCTGAACATCATCCATCTGAAGGAGGAGAGACTCTCTATGGCCTTAATCACTATTCAAGATGGCTATTACGCGATTCCAATCTGAGCCTGGCGCCAATGGTACTAATGGAAAATATTCCATGGCAGCTAGAAGCTTGGCATTACCTTAGCAAATGTGTCAAAGAAGGTGGCAGTGCTTTTAAGAAGGCTCATGGCCATGAAATATGGGAATTTGCATCTGAAAAACCTGAGTTCAACAGGATTTTCAATGAGGCCTTGACGTGCATAGGAAAAATCACGATGAGGGCTTTCCTATCACAATATAAAGATGGCTTCAATCATATTGAATCACTAGTGGATGTCGGCGGTGGTGTTGGAAGAGATTTAGCAGACATTGTCGAAGCCTTTCCACGCATCAAAGGTATAATCTTTGATTTGCCAGATGTTGTAGCCACAGCACCAACACATGAAGGAGTTTCACATGTTTCCGGCAATATGTTTGAGGCCATTCCGGATGCTGATGCAGTTTTCATGAAGGTGAGACTTTTTTAGTATTTCATTTTCTTGACAAGCCTTCGTATGGAGGAGGTTTGCTCTTTTTTAAAAACTTTTTGAGTTCGAACATCTAGGAATATTTATTGTCCGTATATGCTAGATCGATATAAAGGTATGCCTTTACGACCGTCTAGGAATGAGATTTATTTAATCTCAACTGAGGTGTAAGCTGCTCCTAAAAAGCCTCTCTTCCTCCAACCACCAAAAAAAAATAAAAAAACAAATGATGATGAAACTTAATAAATGTTAGTTAAGATATGCTTGATTCCATTTTTTGCCACAAAGGATCATACTATATCTCCGTTTTTCGTCTTTTGTAGTGGATATTGCATGATTGGGGAGATGAAAATTGTGTCAAAATTCTGCAAAATTGTCGCAAAGCCATTACAAAGAAAAAGGAAAGCTTGTTTTAATGGAAATAGTCCTACAACCTGGCGAAAATAAAGATCAATTTGGTGATATGGGACTTGTTTTTGACTTGCTGATGCTTACTCACACCAACGGCGGAAAAGAGAGAACTGAGTGTGAATGGAAGAGATTGCCAGAGGAAGGAGGCTTTCCTCGCTACCAAATCATCAACATTCCTGCTTTGACGTCTATTATTGAGGCATATCCGGAGTAAAAAATTTATATTTATATATTCTGGTAGAACATGAAATTCATGGCATGATAAACTGGTATCAACTGGTATATTTGTATCATCTTCTGTAACAAATAACATGATTTTAATATCATATTTTGCGCCTCATAAGGCCTTGAACCACCGGAAATAAAGTTGTATCGCTAAATATATTTTGAGCCCCATTATTATTCTTAGTTTATTTCTGTCTTTTTCTTCTTATAATTCATTATGTTTTTCTTCAGGAAAACCTTCTCGATATGTTCTTCATCAACCGCATACTTCCAAACATAACGAAGTAGCCCCTACAAAAATTTATTGAATTAGCAACAGTCTAGACTGTCGTTAATTCAGAAAAAACAGTCACTAATGCAATTTAGCGACGGTCCAAAGACCGTTGCTAAAATGCCAATCGTTAAATTTTTGTGACGATTTTTGGATTGTTGCCAATTTTACGACGGACTTAACCGTTGCTAAAATGAAAAAACGTGACAAAATATGATAGTAAAACGAGGAAATATTTGCGACGATGCAAAAAAACCCTTGCTAAGTTCATCACAATTTAGCGACGGATTTAACAACGGTCTACAGATCGTTCTCAATTTATTGAAAATTAGCGAAGGTCAAAACCGTCGCTAATTGTCCGATTTTAATTTTTTTTTCACCTCCAATTTAAATATCTAAAATTAACCAATTGCTATTTAAAAAATCTACTCAATATCCAAAACACAATATTTAAAAATTTCATAATTATTAATATAAATTATATTAAAACATAATAAATATTATTCAATTATTAAATTCTTGAAAACAGATACAGTATTTTTGTTATTACAAAAAGACATAATAGCTAAAAGAAATTGCTTAGATCGTAACTTGGAGGTTGAGTGGAATCGTCCGAAGGTTGAATGGAGTCGTCATCGGTCTTAGGCACAACGGATAAAGTAACACCCGGTCAATGCAGGAAATCCTCGCTTTTCCCCGATTTGACCAGGGAAAATTGAGACGGGGGAAATCGAGGTGGGATGGGCCCAGAGCAAATTGCTATCCCTATTTTTCAGTTTTTTTGTTTTTATCTCATTTTTTTACAAGTAATTATTTTCATACACTATAAGAACAAACATAATTGATTTTCTACCAGCATACACAACAAGTAATTGCTTAAATTCATTTAAATACATAACACCGATGTGTAGAATTCACATTTAAAAATATATAAAAAAATTAGCTTAGATTGATACATAAATTAACTCTTGTATATATATATATATATATATATATATATATATATATATATATATATATATATATATATTATGTAACTGACCATGACTGCTGAGAGCATGGGCTGTCTTCATGAGATATCAAACACTATCCAGTTAATACAACAAGACAAGATATTTATAATCAACAGTGATGGGCCGAATGAGGATTTTCATATCTGATGTCATATGTGACAGCTAAAATTTCCTCCAAATATACCGTGTCGATCTGCAAAATGAATACTTAGAATTACGTAAAAGAATAATTTAGCTTATCAATAAGCAGTTGGCCTAGTAATAAAAGGGAGTTGTTTCTTAAATAAATTTTTTATCATAAAATTTAAAATTATTTTTATTAAAAAAATTTAAATTTTATTATTTTTATTTCGAACAGAATAATTCTTATACCTTGAAAACATGCTTACAATGGAATAAATTAATAATAATAAACAATACGTAGCTGACCATGACGGGTAAGAGCATGGGCTTTCTTCATATGATGTATACGCCTATTTTATATTCTCAATAATATAGTACCTTGATCCAATTCCCAAACGGCTGCTGAGAACATAAAGTTCATGGCCAGTTCAGAACATGCTCCATTACAACCTCATCTAATCAAAATTCTAGATACCCAAGCTCAAAATATCAAACAAAAGTTTCACGCATATCCAAATCTCATGTAATTTAATTTTTTTTATTGATATCTCAAATTTTTTTTAATCCAATTTAAAAATTTTATTATTATATTATTGTTTCAGATCCTAATATACTATGTAAGCGTATATGATAATCTTTAATTAATGATAAATCATCACATCACTAATTTAATCATTTAATCTGGATTCATCTAACACGTGATAAGTTCGTCATTGGCAAAAGCTTGTCACTCTTATTTACGTGACACATTATGGTTTAAAACATTAATAATATTATAATAGAATTCTTAAATTAAAAAAAAAAAAATTAGGATCTTAATAAAAAAAATACGAATTATAAGAGATCTCAATATATACAAAACCTTATCAAACAATATATCATAATTAAATTAAGTAAACTATCTCTCTAAAAAAAAAAAAACATCAAACTTGGATTCATTTGTGATCCTCGTTATTAATGGAAGGAATGCTTATCGTTTTATTAAATTCTTTTAAGAAAATTAACAATGAGTTCATTTTTTTTTATCAAATCATTGAGTTCTTTTCCGGAGGTGAGAAATTGAAGATTTCAATCAAAGTTCAAGAAATCAAATGAGGTAACGAACCTCATTGACTGTTTGATCTACCCCTTTACGTATACACTTTTAAAGTTCATCATTCTTCCACTTGCAGTGGATTTTTTTTTTTTTTAAATAATTCAATTAAGGTATTAGTTAGGCATGGCCAAAGGGCAGCATAGAATACACAAAAGTACTGATAAAGTCTTCCTTATTATAAAATTTAACAAAATCAAAGAAAAATCATTTTTTTTCTTTTTTCTTTTCTCTTACTTTTCTCGGTAATAATACGCAAAAGAAAGATAAAATCTTCTTTTTTCTTTTATATGCATGTCTCTTCTAAATAGGAAAAACAAAATAAGAAAACAAACTTTTCTTTTCTAGTTTTACAATATAGTCCTTTTCCTATTTTTATTTTTTCATGGATCATACTAAAACTGACTTTTGTTTCAAGGAAGCTTCTTGGTGCCAAATCTGTTTTATTATGGAAAATCATAATTGAAATTTGGAGAAATGAGGTCCCTTCTTTTAGCCTAGATGGGGCCATCCATTTGCTCCCCTTCTGACTATCTTTCAGCTAAGCAGGGGTTATTAACAGGTCAGGTGATGTTGATTCCATTGTCTTATATCTCCTCAAGAAGTCAAGATGCCTTGGCCGGCCCTTGTCGTTTCATCGGAGATTTCTTGCGTTCGCCGACTGGAATGAATAGCTGGAGAAATTTTCTTTACGTGGATGGATTTGTTCTACTGAGATGGTAGATTTGCTTCAGTCAATTCGATACTGTTTGGTATTAATGTATTTGCATTGTATTTGAAATTGTTTTTCGAAGTGCCTATTTTGGATTGAAAAGGAAAATTCAAGTATTTTTAGATGGTTTTGATATGATGATGTGAAAAAAAAAAAACACTTAAAAAATCATCAGTATTAATTAAATGATTTTCTGTATATAAATAAATTCAACTTGGGGTTTTATAGTTTATACGTCGTCTTAAATTTTGGATTATTCATTTGGAACATTTCCATTTTTTTTTTTTTTTTTTTTGGTGTTCTTTCTTTTTTTAATATAACTTGAAACTTGAAACTACATGCGAAGCAAGCTAAGACCTGTTGACCCAGAAACTGAAGCTAAAAGAGATAAGGAAAGCCAAGGAGAAAACAAACATGGCATCCTTAATACAAACCTTACCAAAACTCAGTAAAGATGAGCAAGAGCAAGAAGAAAGTTTCTCATTTGCTATGCAACTCGCATTGGGGTCGGTGCTACCCATGGCCATGCAAGCAGCAATTGAGCTGGAAATTTTTGAGATCATAGCCAAAGCAGGTCCAGATGCCAAACTCTCTGGTTTTGATATTTCAAAACAGATGCCTACCTCAAACCCGGCTGCACCGGGAATGCTTGACAGGATCCTAAGGCTTCTAGCTAGCCACGGTGTGCTTGGTTGTTCGTTGGACTTGGGTGCTCAAGGGATCCACCAGAGACTCTTCTCTTTGACTCCTGCCTCCAGACACTTTGTGCGCAACGAAAATGAAGATGCAGTTTCATTGGGCCCCTTGATGATCATGACCCAAAACAAGGTCTATCTGGAGAGCTGGTTTGTCTTTCTTCCCATCCTGTATATATGTGTGTGTGCCATCCCTCTTTTAATTTCTATGTTATTCTTACGCCCTTTCTATATCAAAGTCATTGATTTAAATGTTTTTTTCCAAATGTTTTATATAAAATTTTGAATCTGCTTTTATAGTTTTGAGCAACATAAGTTTTCATTCTTTTCGCTCAGTACTGCATATTTCGTTTCGTCATGAACAGGCTAAATCAAAATATTAGGACATTCCATCATCATATCATGGACCAGATGGTCTGAAAAAGGTTTTTTGATTCACCGGAAGGTCTATGCATCCTTAGCTATATAATGGGAGATTGTCTTTTTCGCATTACATAACTATCAAATAAACTGAAAATACTAATTAAGAGTCAAACTCTATTTTATTGAAAGAAGTTATCAGAGACATTCAACCGTTAGGTTAAAGCTACTTGCGTTATATGTCTTTTAAGATTCATAAGATTTAATAGTGAGATTTATTTATTTAATTAATGTTTGAGATTTTTCAGTAAACTATATCGGTAAGAATACTATGTAAAATTAGCATTACTTGTTAGAAAATTAGAATCTAAGTTTGTAATACTGTTCACTAATTAAAACAACGTAAAAGAAAAAACTTGTGAAATATTTTACAAACTTCTGATTCGCAATGTTGCAAGCTTCCATTTGCTAGTTAATTACTAAATTCAGTGGCCAATACTTATGTACATATCTAGGTCGGCACTGAAAGAAGCAGTTCTTGAAGGAGGAATTCCATTCAATAAGGTTCATGGAATGCATGTTTTTGAATATTCTCAAGTGGACTCCAATTTCAGTAAACTTTTCAACACAGGAATGATTAATCACACAACAATAGTTATCAAGAAACTCTTGGAGACCTATAAGGGCCTTGAGGGCATCAAACAGCTGGTTGATGTTGGTGGTGGCCTAGGAGTCACCCTTGACCTTATTACTTCCAAATATCCTAATATTAAGGGTATTAATTTTGATTTGCCTCGCGTCATACAGAATGCTCCTCCCTTCCCTGGTATGCTTTCTATTTCCTTGTCAGCAAACATGATCAATTGATTCTTATTAAGAATAATCATGCAAAGATATAAGTTCCTGGTTTGAAAGGTAATGTCCATCGATGGGTTAATTTATGTTGCAGGAGTTGAACATGTAGAGGGTGACATGTTTCAATGTGTTCCCCAAGGAGATGCCATTTTTATGAAGGTATAAGTACTTGTTATGGTTACCAGTTTTTTCTAAGCCTTATTTGACTCCTTAGTTTTTGGGAAATTAAATTATTTGTAGTTTGATTTGATCCATGTTCATATATATATATATATAATTTGAGATTGAATATTAGATAACAACTTAGCACTATAGTTTTAAGAAATTATAAATTAGTCCTTCTGGACTAGCTAGAATGATCGAGTTATATAACATCTATTTTTCAATATTAGTATTTTCTTCGAAATATTGGGACTAAGTTATATAACATCTATTTATTTTTATTTTTTTTGAAAATCAATGCAACTGATGTGAGATTTAATTTAACTTGATCAACGTAGTTTTACGAAATTAATTAATGAGTCCTTGTTGTTTTTAGAAACCATATGATATGTTTTGAACCCACTTATAACTTAGTCCTATCATAAATTTAATTTCATGTTACTTTTCAATTTATTTTATATTTTGGAAAGATAGAAAAATATTTTGGTATGATGGAAAGATTGGATTCGGAGATAAGGCATTTTTTGAAGGAAAAAAAAATTACTATAATTAACATGACAAATACTGGTATAAGGTACGATTCAATTGTTTTTTATAAGTTTTTTTTTTAATATTTATGCCATATATTTTTTGAATTTTTTTAATTGAGATTCTATATTCTTTTTTTTTAATTTAATTAAGATTTTTTATTCTTTGAGATTTCTTATTTCAAATCTTTTTTTATAACATCACCGATTAGAGATTAATACTTGGTATTGAGTAATAAATCTCAAAGATATGTCAATAATCACTAATTAATAATATTATAACGAGAGAGCTTGAAATAAAAAATTTCGAAAAGTTGAAGGTCTCAATCAAATTAAAAAAAATAGAGGATCTCAATTTAAAAAATTTGAAGGATACAGGATCTAAAAAATGAGAAAAATCCATATTTTATACTATAGAAACTAGCTAATTAGTTTTGATAAATTACATGAATTCAGTTATAATTAACTCAATGATGTGGTGATGTAAACTTTGCAGTGGATACTTCATAATTGGAGTGATGAGCATTGCTTGAAGTTGTTAAAGAACTGCTACAAATCTATTCCAAGTGATGGAAAAGTAATTGTTATGGATGCAGTCCTTACAGTAATGCCAGAGAATAGTGCAGCTGCAAGGGACACTGCCCATATGGATGTGTTTATGTTAACTCAAAACCATGGAGGAAAGGAGAGAACCCAACAAGAATTCGTAGCCTTGGCAATTGGTGCTGGATTTAGTGGTGTCAGATTTGAATGTTGCATTTACAACTTTTGGGTTATGGAGTTCTTCAAGTAATGTGGCCTTCTCAGTTCTTAAAAAATGAACTTTTCGTTTCTTTGTAATTATTGAAACCTTTTTAATTAGACCTTGCTAAGCAATAGTGATAGCATGCTTTAAAGCATTTGCTTTTATTTGTTGGACTCTTCTGTGTTGTCACTGGTCAAACATGAGACAATCTGATTTGGTCACGTAACAGCCATCTTGAATGGTGGTTGATTTCGTAGAGAATATCTCCTCGATCGGATCGTTGATGTGCTGTGAAAATTCTCTGCAGACCAGAAATCTCATGATTCGATCAAGGCAGCCAATGTCAACAGAAGGTGAGTCAATAACTGAAGCAGAATAATGAAAACCCTAAAATTAGTCCTGAAGTATGGTTATATACGTTCATGCTTTAGATATATATGACTTAGGGAGAAAGTGTCAGAAACCTGAAGCTATTTGGTAAAGTGTGACTGGGCCTCCATGAGTGGTTATTATGTCAGCTATTCCAAGCTCTACAGCACACTTCAAAGCTATAGAGTCTACCTAACCAAACATGAGCTGCCACATCTTTGCTTGCCCTGATAAAAAAGTGTCTGCATCTGTTGATCCCATTTCCTCTCTTACTGCCATGTTTTTGTTAGTGTGTAAAGCCAAGGCTTGTTCTGCTAAAAGGCTTAGAGATCATGAGGATTACACAGCCATTTATATAGGAAATAATTGCACCTAACATTTTTCAATAAAAAATTGCATCCAACATCAATTTGTACTGATTAATTAAAATCAGCACTGTACTGGAAAGTGGACTAATTCCTGGAGTAAATAGGTCAATATATTATTATATAATATTTTGAGTTTTTTTTATCTTTCTTTAGGTTTTTTTTATTATATCCCATATGTTTTTGAAATTTTTAAAATATTTAATCTATCTTTTTAATCAATTTTCTAATAAAGAAAAATTTTTTGATCAAAATAATCTAAAAACTTGAAAAATAGAATATACAAATCTTGTGACTTTATAAGTGTTTTTTTTTTTTTCTATTTCAGTTAAAGGCATGTTGATTAAAAAAAAAAAAATTGTTTCAGATTGGAAAATGTTTTTTTTTTTTAAGAAAGACATTGAACATTTTAAAAATGTTCAGAAACAAATTAGATGCAATTAAAATTTTAGAATTTGTGAAGAACTCAGAATATTATATAAAAAACAAATTGAGCTATTTACTTCTAATTCATGCTCCACTTATTGCAAAGAACAATTACAGAACTGGTCAGAAGATCTGAAACCTTCCATTGTGGTGCCACAAGATAAACAGATAAGTTGAACAGGAATCAGAATCAATGCATTAGCTTAATTTGGTTCATTTGAACTCAATTCATAGAAGCATTTATTTAGACAAACAAATGAAACAAACAGACTAAACTCTTTTTTTATGAGTAATTATTCACAAACACGCACATACACAGACGAAAAAAAAGCTGACGAGCTTGTACTCATGTGATATAATATTTAGCAGATCACGGATGGTAAAGGGTTGGAATATCTTCTGACATTAAACACAAACTTGTTTTATTGATGCAATCATACAAGATAGCTGAGTGATGGGCTCAACGAACTCCACAATTTCTTCAATGTGTTAAACAACGTCACTCATTCTGGATAGGCCTCAATAATGGACTGTAAAGCTGGAATTTTGATGATTTTGTACCGAGGGAAGCCTCCTTCCTCCAATAATTTCTTCCATTCAAGCTCAGTCCTTTCTTTTCCACCCTTGGTATGAGCAAACATCAGCAGATCACTTAATAATCCTATTTCACTGACTTGATTACTAGCATTTTCTTGTAAAACCATATCCACCACAATCAGCTTTCCAGTCTTCTCTGGTATTGCCTTGCGGCAATTTTTCAAAATTTTGACGTAATATTCATCTCCCCAGCCATGCAATATAGCCTACAGGTAAAGCAAGAAGGGAAGAAATTAAAGTATGTGTCAGGCACTGTCTCTGTCTCTGAAAATTGTTAAGGAAAATCTATATTCAAGTGACACTTGCAGGAAATGTTTTGCATAACAGAAACAACAGTGAAGATCAATCCTGTTCAGCTAATTGGTGCTCCACAATTCAAGTCACTTTTGCCACTTCAGAAACAGAACTAATAAAAAATCAAAAACATGAGTTCTGGCCTTCAAGGCAATATAGAATTATCATCACAGAAAATGGCAAATGTGAATACCTTCATGAAAACTGCATCAGCATTGGGAATGGTCTCAAACATGTTGCCGGCGACATGTGAAACCCCATCATAAGTTGGTGCAATGGCCACAACATGTGGCAAATCAAAATTCACACCTTCGATGTGAGGACAGTTCTTGACAATCTCAGCCAAAACTTTTCCGGCACCACCTCCCACATCCACCAATGACTCAATGCCGTTGAGACCATCTTTATAATTCGATATGATTCCCCTGGTCACAATCTTGGCACTGGACGAAAATGCATCACAGAACATACTGTTGAATTCAGGGTTTTTAGAAGCAAAGTCCCACGTTACACATCCATGAGCCTTCTCAAAAGCAGTTCCACCTTCTTTAACACATTGGCTAAGACAATGCCATGGAGCTAGTTGCCATGGATGGTTTTGAAATAACACCATTCAACTGAGGCTTAACTCCGAGTCCTGTAATAGCCATCTTGAATTGTTTGTTAGCCCATAGAGAGTCTCTCCATTATCATCTGATACGCTGAAGATCTCTTTATGGACAAGAAACCTCATGATGCGAGTGAGGCGAGCCATGTCAGGACAAGATGAGTCAATACCTAAGTCAATGGAGATTGGCTGATAGCCACATCAGGATGAGAAATAATTAACCGAACCCAATTCATGCCAACCAAACCTATCACATTACAAATTCACCAATTCACTAACCAAGAATGGTAGTGGGATTTACTGAAAACCAATCAATCAAATTGGTTTAAGCCAGATGAACCAGCTCTACAAAATGAATATTTAATAAGCATAAGAACTGAAAAGAAACAAACCTGAAGCAATTTGGGACAACGTAATCGGACCACCATGAGAATTTATAATGTCTGCTATGCCAAGCTCTATGGCACATTTCAATACCATAGAATCTGCAAACCCAAACATGAGTTGCCATATCTTTCGATGGCCACTTGACAATGCCTCAGAGTCTGTTGCTTCCATTAATCTCTCTCTCTCTCTCTCTCTCTTCCCTCTATTGTACGTGTCTATGCCAATGCAGTCCTCAATCTTTCGAGTTAGGCAGGGATTTTTACACCCGACCAAAGTTCATCTGGATTCTGGAAACCCGAGATCGGAAGTCCAACTTACTCGTAGAGAAACTATAAAACCACATGTAAAGCAAAAATAGCTAGAATTTTCTCCATTAATTAGGCTATAACACCATTAACGTCTCAACATAAAAGCCAAAGTGTGTATATGCACAACATGCGCACTGAACTTATACAACGCTGATTGCTGAACTCTTGCAGAAAACATATGCAAATGTACATGCATCCAAAAATCATATACATGCATAGATTTTCTATAATGCTGGTATCAACTCCTTCCCCTTGATCACTCTAAGCTAATGAAAGCTTTTCTATAAACAGAAAACAGCAAAACCACTATAATAGCCAGTAATAATGCTACCGTGCACTGCCAAACTTTCAAGTTTAGTTCACATGAATTCAATCCGTGTGCTTAATTACATATTCTAAGGACCAGTCTAGGTGACCAAAAAATGAAAATTGGAACTTTTTAAAAACTGCATGGATGATATTGAGCTAATTTAAACTGCGGAGGTAGAAGTAGAAGTAGAACATTGATGAATCTTTAATGGCAAAAAAAATAGTTTACCCAAAATAAAATCGTAGAAAATTTAATCCACCGAAAAAAAGAATCCACAATTCCTCGTTTTTTCTCTCTTTTGTGCGACTCTAAACACAAAATCAATCATATCATGCAATTTACTAAACATAAAATTAATTAATCCCAACTTCAAATTCCTGCTCATGATACCAATTAGGAAGAGAACAGCATGCAAACAACACCAGCCTAGAAAAAGCAATACAGCTTTGATTAATTCTTACTCAAGTTCAATGATGAGAAGAAGAACTAGCAAGAATGGCTGTGGAGAATTTAGAGCTTTGTTGGCCGGAAGTTTGCAAGCTCCTCAGGCCGTGCGTCAGGTTCTGGTAAATGTGTCCGGTTCAGATGGGGGAATCGGTAGTTACCACGTGTAGTGTACTTTACCTGTCTTGTCTGGATCTTAACTTTATCATTTTTATTTTTTTCAACTGTACAAAAGTTGAAAAATAAATGTCGAATAAAAATAAAAGAAATTGAAACAAAAATCAGTGCCCTTTCCGTTCATGTATCTATCTCTTAAGCTACATATATTTACGAAAAGTAATATTATTCTTAAATAATTATTTTATAAAATTTATTGAATAAAAAATACTAATAATTAGATTTATGAAAGTTATTAACGAAATACATTTATTTAATAAATAAAATACTTATCTAATAATTAATATTTTTTCAATAAATAAGTGAATTTTACAAGACAATCATGTAAAAGTAGAATCGTTCATAATCAATTAGAAACGGCTAACAATCATATTTATTAAAAACTAACACTTTGCGCTTGAAGTCGTAGCCCAAGTAGTGAGGTTGAGGATCACTCACCGATGATACTCGGATTCGATTCTCTCTGCACACGTATGTCACCCCCACGGTGCCTTACTTGCCCACCGAGCTTGCGGGGTGTTTGGTGGATCCGAGGATTAGTCGAGGTGCATGCAAGCCGATCGGAACATCCCGAGTTATCAAAAAAAAAAAAAAAAAAAACTAACACTTTTATAGTTCCTTCCAAATTCCAAGAAAAAATCTCATGTACTTGGATTTAATTAAAAATATAATCATGTATGAATAACATTAATCCTAAAATATTCAAAATGCGTTTTTAACCATCATGTTTATTGAGAACTAACATTTTTAGTTCCATTCAACAT